GCACTTAAAAATCACGCTCCAGCGAGCGAGACAGTTTTTTTCTCCTTCCCTCGCAACTAAGTGACACGTGCTTAGCATACTTCAGCCCTGGCATCCTTCGGCGGATTTTTATACCTTCGAACGTCTTGGTCTCTCTCCTGTCGAAGCGCGCTTCGAGATTTCTAGGTCGGATGAAGATTCCGATAAAGGAGAAAACGACGGTCTTCTCCGAAGCTCTTCTTGTAAAATACTTGGTTCAATCTAACAACGATACGTTATACAGGGACGTGATGTCTGTCATTCAAATCGATCGCATCAATTTTTAATGAAAACTCTACGTCCGAATTCTGGTAGACAATGATCGCGATATGAGAAAAAAATGTATTTGCGCATTCGTGCCGCGTACGTGTACACGTATCTCAATTAACTCGTTGGGCTTAATGAACGACAAGTGTACGAGAGAAAAAGAGCCAATTGCAACTTTGGCGTGCCTTGGATGGCATAATTAATGTTTATTTCCCAGCTGATGGTTGGTGGCAGAACGCGCTGTCATTGGCCTTAGAGGCGTCAGTGGTCATCATATGAAGCCGCGTCACTTTCCACGCGGGACTGCTAATAAATTACATCCGTATCTCGCTCCCATCGGTCGATCTCGAGCGAGTTAACTGGTCGCTTTGGTGCGAGCGCGCGCTGCCGTGTGTGCGCGCCAGTACGATGCACTTCGACCCTGCACTCGTCGATGCACTTTCGGCGCGCGAATCAAGCCACTTAGGGCGCTGCACTTCAGGTTACCACCAAGCCGAAAAGCCGAAAACTGCCAACATGATTTCGGGAACGCCGATCCGGAGCGCGATCTTTCCGATGAAAATACCGACACGAGTCAAAGGTGGCCGCAGCCACACGACGCGACGATTCCGGTCGATATCCCCGACACATATTCGCCACCTCTGCGGAGATGTGCAGTTCGCCGAATAAAAATCTGTCGCTCGGTCGCGCGAGCGTGTCGGGTGTCTGTGAATTATTATAGGTTTGCGGCAAGTTCGACGAATCGTCGATAATTTCCTCGCTTCGTAGGACGAGTCAGTCATTTTGCAGGCGCGTTTGCTCGGAAAGCAGAGCAAAATGGTGGGTAACGAAGAGACTGCGATGGAACGTGTTATTGTTTGGTTAATATAAAATAAACACAACCAACGGCCCAACTAATTTCTGTGAGACCGAATAATCATCACGAGAGGATGAATCCTAACAATCACATTCATATTATTATATATTCCTCATCACATTTCGTTCTACTTCTTTCGTGTGTCTTCAAATATATAACTATCGAATATATTAGGTTGTGGAAAAAGAAATCCATTATTTTTTCGTTTATTTCAAGGCTTTATTTAACATAGTTAGGATTGTTCGATTTTGGTCAAATAAGCACCGTTCTATCAATTTGTCGCCATTTTAAAGGTAATTTCATGATCCCTCTTTCATAGAAGCCCTGGTCCTTATTTGCAAAAAACTCGACTAAGCGATTTTCACAGTCTTCTCTTGAGGTCAATTTCTTACCATCAAGGAAGTTTTGCAATGACAAAAACAGATGGTAATCGCTTGGTGCCAGGTCCGGACTATAAGGTGGGTGCATCAAAACTTCCCAACCAAGCTCCCGGAGTTTCTGACGAGTCACTATAGACGTATGTGGCCTGGCATTGTCCTGATGAAAAACAATTCCTCTCCTATTGATCAATTCTGGCCGCTTCTGGTCGATCGCTAGCTTCAAACGGTCCAATTGTTGACAATAGAGGTCCGAATTTAGTGTTTGGCCATATGAAAGCAACTCATGGTGGATGATTCCTTTATAGTCCCACCAAACACTCAGCAAAACCTTCCTGGCCGTTAATCCTGGTTTGGCCACCGTTTGAGCCGTTTCGTTGCGCTTTGACCACGATCGTTTTCTCACAATATTGTCGTATGTAATCCATTTCTCATCCCCAGTCACCATCCGTTTCAGAAATGGCTCGATTTCGTTCCGTTTGGTCAAGGCTTCGCAGATTGAAATTCGGCCCATCATGTTTTTTTGCGTCAATTCGTGTGGCACCCAAACATCGAGATTTTTTTAGAATCCAGCTTTATGCAAATGGTTTAAAACTGTTTTGTGGTCGATCTTCAGCTCCTGGGCGATACTACGACTGCTAACATGCCGGTCTACTTCATTTCCATAATTTTATTGACATTTTCGACGACGGGCCTACCTGTGCGAGATGCATCTTTAACATCAAAATTACCGGAACGGAATCGACGAAACCAAAATTGCTCGTGATTGGCTGTGACAGTATCGGGACCATAAACACCATTCACAATTTCAGCCGCCTGGCTTGCATTTTCGCCTTTATCGAAGCAAAATTGTAAAATATATCGAATTTTCTCTTTGTTGACGTACATCTTTTACGTGCTCACATAACTCACAACTTAATCGACAAATCAAAAACCGTTAAAGAATTTTTTTTAGTACGGAATGTCACTTTTCCAACGAGTATAAATATTAACCTATGTGATTAATACATCACGTGATATATACCACTAAAACCATCCAGCGGAAAAATAATGGATTTCTTTTTCCCCAACCTAATATTAATTATTATGCATCGGTTTAAATATTATCGGTACAAATATTTTCTTATTGTTTCTTTTTCTTTGTAGATCGCGCTATAATTATTAAAGTATGTGTCGTGGAAACACGTGCTTCACAAGTACTAATAATTTATGACAAGTGAGGTGTCGATACAGGCCCTTAATTTTGCACCTATTTCCAAGTTTGAGCGCGCGCGTGCACACGCGAAAGAGAGAGAGAGGGGGGGGGGAAGAGGGAAGAAGCGGAAGGAAAGGAGTTATTTTTATACGTGCGATATCACGATGCGCGAAGTTGCTCGATATAAATATAGGCCAAAATGCACTCACTCGCAGCCCGTAATATTCGGCCGTGGCTTTAATGCCCACGCATCAACCTAATTATTCATGTTGCTCGTTAATATATCGTTATCAACTTTTCGCGTAAATCCGTAAGCCTAGTACGGTTCCTCCTCGGCTTTTGCGGCGGAATCGTTTCTAGTTTCGCTCGTAAAATTCTACACCCGTGATAACCGCTCTCTAATTACGCTAATTGCAAAATACGAGCGGCGGATGAAACTCCTCGTACCAAATAAACAAACTCCCTGGTTAAGAAACTTTCTACTTCAAATATTAGTTATTCGTTACAGATTATTTGTATATGCAACGTGACTCGATAATTTGTGTAAATAAATTAGCGCGCAAACATGAATTCATAAAGATGTGTCTCGCTTCATCATATTGAAGTTATCGATTAATCGTTAATTTATATCACTAAAACTTCAAGTACCTGCGGGAATTATTCGCCAGAAGGCGGACTCTTTAAAGAGCAAAGAACGAGATAACGTGACACATTAATCTTCCGCCGTAAATTCAGATCTCAGTTCGCGATTTATAAGGGATTTTAACGGATTTTCTCCGGTAACGCGGCGGCATTCTGAAACATCATTGACAGGCGAGAGCTGACCAGAGCAGCAATTTGTTCAGGGATCGGCATTGTCACACGAGGTGGAGAACAGACTGTCGATATCCGGTATACGTCAGTTAATCCAGTAGTCCTTGTAAATAAATAGCGGTCCGCGGTGGAAGGAGAATGACCGTCACTTTTGCAGCCGCTTCGAAAATCCTTCGCGGCGAGAGAATATCGCGCGTCCGATCTTACGTTTATCGATGTCCCCGAAAGTCAACGGGCCGACAGACATCTCGTCCTTTGTTTACCGCGAGCGGGAGGGAACGTGAACGCTTTGTTCGTAAGATCCCGTTCGCAATCAGCACGCCCCCCAAGTGACGTCGTTATCGCTGAATTTCTGACGATAAAGCAACAGACGACGAAGTCAGCTCCGATCTTTGATAATTAAAAAGAGTCGGGGGATGAGGCAAGACAGCAAGACAAGCGCCCCGGAAACATTAATTTAAGCCGATTTAGGAAACTACAGATTGAGATTTTTGGCAGAAGCTTAGGGGATTCTGGTCTCCCTTTGAATTCCCCGACAACGACGCTTGATTTTAGCAAGATACGTAAACAGCAGTCCTTTCTCTCGATCGTACACGACTTGTAACGCGACGTCAGTTATTTTAATTACTCGAAAATATCTCGCGAAGAATTTTATTCTTGACACTAACGCAATCGTTCTTTCAAGCAACGTGAAAACTTGTTACCCTAAATACTCAGTATATCTTTCAAAAATTCCTAATAAAAAAATAAAATTTCTGTTTTAATAAATGACAATAATCGACATATTTTATATCGATAACTAAAGAAGATATCGATAACTAAAAAGAACGAAAGGACGCCCTGCGATCAGCTGATTAGCCCGCACGATCAGCTGACGCGTCAGCGGTCACCAGTTGATCCGATCGCGTAACTACACGCACCAAAATTTGGAAATGTTTGCTGAAATTTCGCAAAAAATATACTTATTCATGCGGAAGAAAAATCTCAACCCCACGTTATAGTAATTAATCATATGTAAATCAACCTAATTTCATAAAATACCCCCGAAGTCTCGACCTTAATTTCCACGGCAGATTTTCATTGATTAAAATTCCCCTTACAATCCGCCGTTAAATTACAAAGCGATAACTCGGGGATGTTATAAATTACGCAAAGTTTAGAAAAAACCAAACAATATCGACAATGCCTGTATAAAAAAAAATTCTAGAGCCGCTATTATTTTTCTATTAAATTAGATTAGTTGATTAATTGTTATAATTTTTGGTTCTAAGATGCTTGATTTAAAACTCAAGGGCCATAAAGACCGAGTTTTATTTCAAAGAAACTTCCCAATGAACTTCAAACTTTCTCCGAATAAAGCTAAATTAAAATGTAAGATTCAAATTAAAGCATTCAATTTGTTATTTTACTTCTAATATTTCTAAATTCAGAATATAGAGAGTACTAATATAGGAGGACCCGATATTCTCTTCAGACTATCTTTAGAAGCACCTCGGATCGACGCGAGGACCTCGCTCGAGCGTGCTATCGATCGTAACTGGAGGTTCTAATTCCGCGGACCTCTTCGAGGCTCGTCATGCTGGTCCCGGAAGGCAACCTTACATCCTGGAGCAGCAACTGGACGACAATGTTGCATCAGGTATCCTGCAACGACACACTTCTGGACTGCGCCGAGAAGTGCGACGTCGGTTCCGGCGGATTCGACCACCTTTGTATGGTCGAAAAGGGAACCTTCGCCTCTTCAATGACACTCTTTTGCACACCTTGCGATTACGCGACTTGCAACGTCAACGTATCATTGCTCCTCAACGGCCTCGAAAGTATCGAGGGTATCTTTTTATCCAGGATACCCACAAGGGATTGTAACGCCACGTCATTCGCCGAACAAGTGAGCTGCTCGACATACAGCGAGACGTCGAAGTATAGAAGTTCAAAAGAGTCAGAAGTCGCGGAAATTGAAAATAACTCGCGGGTATTTGAAAATAAAATTGCACGAGTGTTCAAGAGTCTCGGAAAGATGTTTAGGGAACGGAAACAAACGGATTAAAACGGACGCTCGAACATTTCGACGCTTTCATTTTACCATCAACGTTTGTCGACATTTTCCAACGTTAACGATACCGACATCAAATCCGCGTCTTAACATAATCAGGTCTCCGAATACTCTTTTCCAAGTCGAACGAGCTTCCCGAAATGACAAGGGTTGTTCGAATCGTCACTTAGAAAGCTTCAGAAGTCATCCCAAGGCGTGATCTAAGGATCTTCATCCCGCGAGGCGATAAATTTCAGTGGGGGATGACACTTAAAAATTGTTGCCTTCTACTTCGACGTCTCGGAGATTCCGGCCATTCATCTCAGATAACATCTACAGATAATCGGCCGTTCCGCAGATTCTGGAGTGTACTCCGGCTGGAGGCATCGTGGAGGATTTGGCCGTGTCCTGCTCGCACCGATCCAGGATCGAGGGCGCCGGCAACAAGGCTCGTCGGTTCGATTGGAGCTTCCTGTTCGCGGCGGTGTTCATAGCCGCCGGTGGACTGGGAAATATATTGGTCTGTCTTGCAGTGGTACTGGACAGGAGGCTCCATAACGTGACGAACTACTTCTTGCTGTCGTTAGCAGTGGCCGATCTCCTCGTGAGCCTCTTCGTCATGCCGCTGGGTGCCATACAAGGATTTCTAGGTGAGTTCGAGCCCTCCCCGAGAACTAACTTAACACTTAAAGCCTGTCTTTCCGAGCCAAGAAAACTGTACAAGACACTGCAAAAAGTGTCACTGCAGATCAACATATAGAACGTTTCCTCCGTTCTCGCTTCTGCGAGACGAGGATGTCTCGGGGAAAAATATCTTCTTTTAAAAGCATCTAGGCTCAAAGAAATTTTTCGCAGATCCTACATTTTGTTTAGAAATCGAGATAATATCAATTTTTTTATGAAAAGCTATACGGTTTTCTCGAACATAAGTCGACTCTTCCCGTCGCGTCCCATGAATTATAAAATGATCAAGATAAGGAAACGTCGAAGAGTGAATAATGTAACGACCGAAAAACGGGGCAATTCGAGAACACCGAAATCTCACGAAGCTTAAAGAATCAATGGACCGATGCTCCTCCAACATTGAGCTATTCGAGCATTTCTCCGTTCTTATGTTTCAACAGACGGCAAATAGAGTCGGAAGGTCAAATAGAACGGGACGAAATGACAAAAGGCGGGAATTTCATCGCGGATGCGCGAAAAATCGCGACTGCTCCGCTCGCGGAGCCGCGAATAATAGGCGCTCGGGTAAAACGGTGCGTTTCTGATGGCGCACACGGAGCAGACTGTAAGGGGTCCTGCGTGGCGTCGCGCACGATCGGATTACGCTCGTAATGTAATCCGTGAGATTAAGACGCCGTGGAACAAGCGTAGAAACGGGAGACGATTTGCCTGGAAGGTCGCCGCGTGTCCATTTGCGCGCCTCTTTTCTGGTCGCACGCTGGTTACTACGAGAAATTTCGCATTCATAGAAGTCACTTCTGGCGTTTAAATCAAGCTCTAACTCGCGACGGAACATGTCCTGAATGTCATGGTGAAATATGAGACGTCCCATGAAGCGTCCACTTTTCGATTAGGTCGCCTTGAACTTTCGCAGGCACAGGATGACGAGCAGAATCAATTTCAATCGTTGAGGAAAACATCGCGCGGTTTCATTTCGGCAAACGTGAGGAGAAAAGAACAAAACAAGAAAGAGGGAGAGAGAGAGAGAGAGAGAGAGAAAGAAAATGAAAGCACCTGTCCCGTGTAACTCCGGGCCATCGGATCTTTATAAACGGAGAAAAAGTCATCGCGTAGACTTCGTAGCGTGCAATTTTCGTCGAATCGATTTTTCTGGCATTCCTTCTCAAGGATATCGCGCGCGCGGCCATCGCTGATGAGGGCTCCGCGTGTATTCGCACCAGTTCAAAAGTTCGAGAACGTCCGAGGCGGTTTTCCAGACGAGGGATTGTGTGATGGATAGGCGTCATCGAAGATATGACGATAATCGTAGGCGGTCATCGAGCTGACGCAGATTGGACACTCGAAAGTACTTAATGGCGGCGCGGTGTGCTCCGTCGTCCGACGGTAATTTCAGTCGAAATGCGAATTAATTAACGCCATCATCATGGCGGCGTCCTATAATCGGATCACGGACGCCGAGAATTATTAGACGAAATATCGCCGTACCAGCGGGCTCTTGTTCATTAACCCTTAAAATACGTAAGCTGTTCCCACCGGTATACGCACGTCGCGTCGGCGTCGGCGGCGGCGACGGCACCGTTTAATTTATGCGCGCGGCAAACAGAGATTGTTTGTCGCACGATAATTAACATTTCAACACGCGCGCATGGTAAAGTCAGTGTCTTTGTTCTCTTAACGCTCTATTTGCCACTCCCGCGACGTGTCCGTTACGCCGGCGCGGTTAATTGCAATTCGTGTTTTCGCCATTGCGCATATCACGCTGACTTTTTTCCTTCATACGAGACGCGAAGCCTAGGTAATGTCAAAGTTCAAACCTGCATAAAAAGCGTGCGATTCTTTCCCCTCTCCTTTTCCTGCTCTCTCCCAGCCTAACAACTTTGCGGACACATTGCAAATTCCAACTGGCGAAAGTTCAGCAATCACATCTTTCGAACGGAGATCGGATATATATATATATATATATATTAACTGAGATTTTAATACGGAATTATAAAATCCCGAATCCTTCCTTCCTGCTTCCGCCGCCCGGACAAAGTTCGGACTTTCGAGCATTTTAATTAGAATGATATTAGAACTAATATCTGACACGAAAGGAAAAAACAAAATAGAAACGCGTCCGTCCAAACTGCGACCTTCTGTCAACCCTCTCGCTTCTCCTTCACCCTCCCTCTCCCCCGGAACCCTTCCCTCTCTCTCCTCTCACGATGTGCAATTGGGAAATATGAAAACTCATCGAATTTTGTTTGCAAACTACGCGATTGTAAAATCGCGGTATGACGGGATTCGAATGCTTTCCCGCTTTAAGTAGTCGATGATGCAAAAGATTCGAAATGACGCGCGGCGAAAATGCCAGACTTTCCAGCTACTAAAGATTTAATGGATCAAACGATGTTGTCGACGTCTCGGGATTTTGAATTCCCAGCACCTGATGCACGCACACCAGCCTAGGCATTACTCCTTCCAGGTCGTGGAGCACGAGCTGTCTCTCTCGCGAGATAAATGAGCCACGACGATGACTCCGCTAATGCCCGGTGTGTCGTCGGCGCGTTCCTCGTGAAAGATGGAGTGCGTGCGAGCACGTGATGCGCGAAAACCCGTGGATAGAGTCGCTCTCTCTCTCTCTCTCTCTCTCTCTCTCTCTCTCTCTCTCTCTCTCTCTCTCTCTCTCTCGTCAGAAAGAGGGCCGAGAGCAACATGAGACCGATCGCCTATAAATCTAAGAGCAAGCAGCGCGACCTCGCCGCGACGAACGACTGTCATTTTCTAAACTTCTCGCATTGAGATGGGAATCTGATGAATAAATAATTAAACGCGACTTTTCATTTTACGTCTGTTCCTTTCAATATCAGTCAATAAATTTCCATCCTATTTTGATAAACTATCACAGAAAAAAATGATGTTTTATATGTATTACTCGTGCCAATAGATATTCAATAAAAGAATAATTAAAAGCGCATCCTTTTATTTTGTTTTATTCTATTTTATTCGTTTCGATATGCAATTTTAATTTATTTCATTTGTTTTGATATTATAAAAGGATATTTATATCACACCCTTTTAATTAATCGCCTCAAAAACATGATTTCATTGTAAACTGCTTGTTTCCATCGAGACCCAACGAATCAATAATTAAATGCGACTTTAATTTCTTTCTAATATTACTAAATAATTTATAGCACATCTTTCAACTGTAATTAATCGCCGCAAAAAAAAAATAATGTCGTTCTAAGTTCCCACCGAGAACCAACAAATGGATATAATCAAACTCAATTTTATTTTATCTTTTTTCCTTCCGATATCGCTCTGTTATTTCCATCATATCGTTCCACTTTAATCGTCGCAAAAAAGATAATCAATGTCGATAAATCATTGGATATTCCTGACACGACGAGCGTGCTGAATCATCATCCCGAGGACCCGCGTTTCCTCATTCGTACTTTACACTCGTTAAGCGGAGCGACTCATTTTCGACGTTTGTTTTCGTATTTTCACGAATGTACCGCCGCGGGTACGGTAAAAGTGTATCGCGAGCACATAGCACAGAAAACACACGCTCGTGTAGGCGCCTTGTTACGGAGACATGCATCGGCGCGCGCGAAACCTTTGTGGCCGAAAATTGGCAAATTTACAGCCTGAGAACAATACGCATATTTCGTATTCAGTATTCGCGCCTTCGCGCGCGAACTACCGGCTTGCCTTTTTGCATCTCGATTCTTTTTCAGCGTATCCGAATGTGCTCTCTGACAGAATTCCTCAAAGTTTCCACCTGACGATACCGACTTCCTGCGAAGTTCTTCATTCAAAAAAAAAAAAAAAGAAAAGGATAAGTATAGGAGAAAGAATAACTCGGAAGACCAATCGATTCTGAAATTCCGGAAAAGCTAACACGGTCGCTTTTGTCTCATATGTACTCGGCGTCGTGCCGCGACCGCAGCGCTTGATAAGTGCCCGAGAAATTAATAGTGATAATAGCCGGAAAAAGGAAGGAAGAAATTTCTTAAGTTATTTAAATTAGATAATAACAATAACGATAATTTAACGCGGTATATAGTATGACAAGAGATTTAATATCTGGAATATTTCTACCTTGTGAAAATTTAAATGTTTGGGACAATTTCATTTTTTATTTTTATTGAAATTTTGGGCGCTCCGTTTTCATTCTGAAGTTCCTATTGCGATTTTATACGAATCTCGCGTTGAATTTTTCTGCCAATCCTATTTTAAATTTCTGTTCTTTCTTTCTTTCTCTCGTGAATTGTATTCTTAATTCAGCCTTCCATTTTGTTCTTGCATTTCTCTTGTGTGTACTTAGGCCTTTATTGCGACGTGTCTGCTCATCAAGCCGTACTTTAATCTGTTACTAATGAAATTCCTCGCAACGAAGTCTCCGAGTTAATAATGCGGCTATGCAAATTTTTGAGGTTACTATGCGTCTCCAGAAATTCTACGTCTCTTGCCTTAATTCTTTTAACGAGAACAACACTTTATATTAAAATAACGAATTCATTAGGTTGGACCATCGAGACTCGATTTCACTATAGTAAAAAGAAAAAGAAAGAAAAGCAAAAAGAACCGGGGTGCTTTCTCTGTCTCTCTCTCCAATTTTTCTCTCCCTCTCCCCTCCTCTCTCTCTCTGTGTGTGTGTGTGCGTGTGTGTGTGCGTGTGTGTGTGCGTGTGCGTGTGCGTGTGCGTGTGCGCGCGCGCGCGCGCGCGCGTGTGTGTGTGTGTGTGTGTGTTGGTCGGAGATGGTCGGTGTCGATTTATTATATTACATGTCTCGCTATTCCCCTCTTCCCCCTCCCCTCGAGCCGTTATCGACCGTAATGAATATCGCTCTAGATACGTTTCTCTGAGATGTCATGTCAGAGAATTCCTCGGGCTTCCGCAAATCTTTGAGGCAGCGAAAATAAATCGACGGCGCGCGGAAACTCGTGCGTGCAGAGTGACGGTTTGTGTAAACGCATTTCCGACAGTGACGTCGTTTGATGTGGACATAGATGCTGAGTGCGTCGTACGTTCGCGCGCTTCCGGATGCGCCGGTCCAAATTGCATGTCTGTCCGCGCCTTACAATCCCGTTTATTCTTAGGCCGTGCGACATTCACATACGGAAGTAATCGTGAATCACCTGCAACGTCCGCCAGGGCGCCTAATTAATCGGGGACTCGTGCTTGTAGATCGCGTTACCGAATGATCAGAATTCGCACTTTAACGCGAACTTGTTTCCAGACGATTTACCGTTCTTTGTAATTCATTTTTTAAACAGCAATTTGTAAAGCGGAAATTCGCGAGACACGAACTTGAGCGAGATTTATGAGCATAAATCTACGATTTATTACTTTGGCAAATGAAACGCGAAAATAATCGTCGATTATTTCCGACGACGAATATTAATCTCGATTCGCTCCTCCGCTGTGGATTTTCCAAAAAGAAAGCATTGCTCAAAGCGCCTGACAAAAGCCAACGCATATAGGAAAATCCAGAAGCAATATCCTGATCAGCCGAATCCTTTCTAGTCGCACGGTGAAAGAACATCCGATAAAAAATCGCGGCATATGCTATTAATTAATCCTTTTCTCTCGAATTTTCTCACGTGAAATATTCCGTGAGAGGAAGAGCGAGAGAGAAAGAGAGAAAACTTATATACGTCTCAAATTACTCGATCATGCAACTTCAAATGAAATAGAGCGCGATCGAATACGAAATCAAGTATTCTACTACAAGTATTCTACTACTATCTCTATTATCGGGATAGGATTACATCTTCTGTCCCGTAATTACAAATTCCGTTTCGTAATTATAATTATATTTACAATTGTCAACGGGAGATAGAGAATGTCGCCCTTTGCTGGAGAGCTCGCTCCTGAACCGTCCGTCTATACTTTCCTAAACGTTTAATTATATGCTGCAAAATTTTGTGGAGAAATAATCATTGCTTTCTCGGACGCAAAGCAGTTTTAGCGCGAACCGCTCGACAACTGAATGAATTGAACGCAATTACGAAGAACGAACGTTAATACCCGTTAATTGCCGCGTTGATTTACGTTGATTGTACAAAAGCTTAACTGAGAATTCAATTACCAAAGACACGATAAACAGATGTAATCTGAGACGCGTACATTTTGGTACCTTGTCTCATTGGTCCTCTATTAGTTGTTCAACCAATTTCCTGAATACAATTGTTTTTTCTATAATTACAATGAGGCCATTCAGATTTACAGTCATGTGAAAGAAAGCCAGTGAGAACCAACGCAGCTTATAAGTCGCGAACAACTTAATGAAATCAAATTTTTATCGCGGAAACGCGATATATACAGTACTCAAAAAAAGGGAGAAACCTAGAACCCTTCTTTAAAATTTCTTTTAATATCCTGCATAAGTCGTATTTTATTTATATACATACCCGTAATAAAAACATAAAAAACTTTATTGTGTTGTTAAGTGACACGTAATAAGACGTCAGCAATATTAAATAACAATAAAATAAAGTCGCGAATAACAGTAAAAATACGGAGCTTCTACGTCTCAGTGTTTTCATTTCAATCATTTTCATCACAATTTTTCGAATCAAAGGATATTAAGAACAAAGCGATGCAACGTGTCAATCGGGCAAACCAAGCAGACGCAGAAACCAGAGTCACACTTTTCAATTCAAAACATTTATTACGTGATTGCTTTCGCGACAAAAATCGACAGCGATTTGTTAAATTGTTCGTAAGTTGTGACCTACGTTGGCTCTTCCTCCACATACAATTAATCGTACACTCTAATGTAATTTTAATTATACTTTAATGAGACGTGATAGCAGCACGGTGCTGGTAACCGGTGATCGCTCAACATGTTAAGAAAGCACGACTTGTCCCGTACGCGCACTCGACGCGAGCTGATTTCCGGCGAGTTTTCAGGGTATTGGCCGCTCGGCATGGTGTGGTGCAACGTATACGTGACGTGCGACGTGCTGGCGTGTTCCGCGAGTATAATGCACATGTGCTTCATCTCCCTCGGCCGTTACCTGGGGATCCGCAATCCGCTCAGGACACGTCACACATCCACGAAACGTGTGGTGGGCTTCAAGATCGCCGCTGTCTGGCTGCTAGCCATGCTGGTCTCTAGCTCCATCACGGTGTTAGGTAAATTGTCTGTACAGCCCTTTTCGCACGAAAGCTTCCGGTTACCGATACCGAACCGGCAGGCACCTCATAAAGTGGCCGACTGCAGGCGCAATGAGAGGCCATAAATATGTGGGGAGCGCATTTACGGGGAAGAAACAACCCCCGAAGAGAGGGAGAGTACGTTATACGAGCGCAGCGTCGGACAGACGGAACATTACTATCCCCGGCAATTAAGAGGTATACGCCCTAAGAAAGGGAAATTGAGTGCACCGAGTGTGCAGATACTGCATAACGTCAGCCCGATCGCTCGAAACTCAACAATTACTTCGGCAGAATATTCTTTCCCTCTCTTCGTTGGTGTCAGCACGCATTAAGATACTTGTTATCTAATGTTAATGGCAGTTTAATGATTTGTATCGGAATATTTTTCGTCCTCTCCAGAGTTAATATTCACTAGCACTTATTAGTGTTTGTTGTGTAATTTCAACGGTGCTTCGATCGGTCTCATCGGCTCCGGCTTTAACGTTAGTTAATTCGCGACCTTGTCGAAAAAACGAGAATTCATTGGGAATTTTCCGGGCGAACATCTCGACGGCGAAAATCTCGAGGCGCAATTTTGCCGCGCGCGCGCGAGCGGTGAACCGATAAAGGATCTCTCACGTTTTTATGAACGCGAGCGGCGTGCCGTTCCGTCGCGAGATAAAGGTGAAAAAGTCGGCGTAATGATCGGCACTGACGATGTTCTATCGACATAATATACATTTATCATGGCGCGATTAGCTCCTCGACGGCTGGCCTAATCGATAATCGAGATAACGAGAAGCTTCAGCACCCTCGCCGCCATCTCTCCGCGATGTAAATAGCCCGATGGAAATTCTAATTAGTCAAGTTATACAAATTCCGCCTAATTTAAATAACTTTATCTCTACCTGAACTGAGAGAAAGTCGATTATGCGGAGCATCGTGCTCGCGTTCGACGTGGAACACTTGGCGCTTTGTACAGATTATCGAAAATAATTTGCTCGTGACGTTTCCTCACGTCGTCGTTAATCAGCGAAATGCGCTTCACAGGGCATCCAATTATTATCCAATTATAACCTTCCCCCAGTGTCTCGTGTAATTTTCGTTGAAACAAGACCCAAGTGACCTAACGAAACTTTTTTCCAAACAGGACATTTTCCGAGGTAATGTCTGAGATAAAAAGTCCCCGTTTTGAAAGACCCTGAGATACAACATTCTATACAAATTTCCAGGCACGAGACGAAAATTACGAGATAAAAACTCAATCTCGACGAGGCTATTTCCGACTTCGGAAAACAGCCTCCGCGGGGTTTGACGGCCGATCGAGAGCTCTAATCGGCAGATCGATGGCTAATCAGCGAAAGGACTAATCAAAGCGTGACAAGGACTCGGCTGCTTTCAGGTATAATCAACCCCTCGAACATCACGCCGCGGCCGGGAGTATGCGTCATCAACAACCGGGCGTTCTTCGTGTTCGGCTCTTTGATCGCCTTCTACATACCCATGATCGTCATGGTGGCGACTTACGTGCTGACGGTGCAGCTGCTTCGCAAGAAAGCGCGTTTCGCGGCCGAGCACCCCGAAGGCGATCAGTTTCGCAGATTGGGTGGTAGGTACGCGTCCGCGAAAACGTCCTCCACGGCGTCCTCGTCATCTACAACTACGACTACGATCACCGCCATGAGATCGTCCACCTCCTCGACCAGGCAGGTCCGCGCTTCCGGATGCAACGCGGAGAAGGAAAGGTGAGAAACTTCTTGCGGCCGTGGGATTCGGTTGTCAGAATTTCCAGGCACGCGGCTCAACTGTAATATTATTTATCGCGCGCGCATGATGCACGGGATACCTCGAAACGCGCGCGAAGAAAAACCCGAGAGGGGATAATCTTGTGCGCGGAAAATAAGTCAAGATTATAGAGTAAGCTTTTTCTTAGCGTAGGAAAGTTTCTTCGAAAAAGTTGACTTTCTGGATCAGACCTTTCAAGTCGTCTGCTAACGTCGCCTAATTAGTCAGTAACATCACTATTTGCAAAAATTTATTTGAACATATTAGTACGATTTTCCTCGCAACGAAGGACTAATAATTAATCATCCATCTCGGCCATTGCTATGCAAGGAGAGCTCGAATTTTCTGCAGCGTAATGTAATTTATAATTTATTTGCACACGCTTACAGGAACTTGGAGGAGCTGAAAATTACGATTGTACGCTGTTCATTCGCGATATAAATATGTCGGATCCGGTCGTCTATCAAATTCCCGCTTTTATCGCGTAGTTTTATGCAAGGCGGACCACGCGCATGCAATGTCCCTGATATCAGCGCGACGGCGACGACAACGTCGCAGTCTATGCATCTTAAATCAAGCGTCGCAACGCAGCGGCCAGTCCGGAGTCGCGCAAATTAATGCGCGCGATCCGAAACTTTCTTCATCAGCGCGTCAATTTTTAACGGAGAAACTCGAAACATTCCGCGCACGAACGCGACGATATTGCGTCGTGTCACAACCGGCGAAATGAGAAGTCAAGCGAGGTAAACACTCCTCCAAAGAAGTGTCCACCTGGATCTTTCTCTTTTTGTCTTTTCTTTTTCGTTGTTACACGGTTACACGGTCGTTCGATTCTCTATGAATCGCACGCCAGCGGGATGATCGATGATGTCGAGCAACGTTGCCGACGAAAGTAAAGAGCTTTCTCGGCAGATTTAGCAGTTGAGGATTTCGTCTGTTTGCTACAGCGACGACAGATGTGTCGGCGTGAGAAAGGTCCTGCCACAGTTAAAGTTCGCGGTGAACGGCGCCGGAAGTCCCGCCGCAGGACCTCAGCTCAAGTCGAAAGTGGATCAGGCGACCCAAACGCCGGAGAACATCGCGCGCGAAACAAGGAACTTCACCTTGCGAGCACTGAAACTGCAGTTGAATGTCACACCGACCACTCTGAATCTCAGGTAACGTTCATTACAAATGTATTTTACGAACAATTAAATTATTACGTAAGATTAAAAATCCGAATATTTAAAAGACCGAGAATCTAAGCAATCAAGCGTCAATCCGAGGTCTGTAAAATTAACACACTAACTTCATCTAACCTGAATCCCCGTCAAACTTTAAAAAGCTCGATTGCGTAAATCTTCAAATCGGTGAATTACAAAATTTGTAAATAAAATCCATAATCCATAATCCATAAAGTACAAGGTAGATAACAAACAAAACATCCATTTGACTCCAGATTTCGAGAAAGCTGTTAAACTTAAAAAATGTCGACCACTAGCAAGCTCTTCATAAGTGAAAAAATGGTAAACCACTAGAAATAAAATTAAAATAAAATACGAATAAAAATAATCGACAAAATAGACAATTTTTCTTTCGAAATTTTCCTCGAGAGTGTCTTCTCTAAGATTAATTAGAATCACTATACTGTAAGATTAATGTTCTTTCAGATTCCTGGCGGGGCGAACAAGAAAGAGATCCTTAGCCGCGAACGCGGTTGCGACCGAACAGAAAGCTAGTAAGGTTCTCGGACTGGTGTTCTTCACATTCGTGTTGTGTTGGGCACCGTTTTTCCTGCTTAACATCTTTTTCGCCGCGTGTCCCACGTGTTCTGTGCCAGGACACGTGGTAGACACGTTCCTCTGGTTGGGTTACGTGTCCTCGACAATCAATCCAATCATCTACACCATCTTCAACAAAACCTTTCGAGCCGCGTTTATTCGGTTACTAAAATGCAAATGTTCGAGGTAATGCTACTAGAGCTATTGACTAGAGCCAGCACTGAAAATTTATATTAAATCGAAATGTATCGATCATCTAATCGCAAATGATTACTTGCAAACTCAATCTATTTTTGAAAATGTATTTTTATTTTCACTTTATTTTATTTTATGTTGACCTTGACCCAAGTTCAGTCTTTTACTCCTCAATTAATATATCTTAAGAATTCTCTAATATCCAACTGAATCTTTCAATCCTCTCAAACTGCAAATTCAAAAATCAAGCAAAATTTCACCGACTGTTCAACAATGTATGTTCTCTGTGCTTCATAAATGACAAAAGGAAGTTAACGTGATGAACCCGATATCGTTCTTTCAGATCCGCGAGACTCCCGAGATATCGCTCAGTCACGGAGAGCGGAAGGGGCGCGATGGGCTTGTGCACGTCGGGTGCGCTTCCGTTGGCCATCAGTTTCCAGGGTACACCCTTACTAACGCCGTCGTCGAACCCTACGCCGACACCAGCGTCCGGTAGCTCTTTCGTGGCGATGATGCATCGAACAACGGACTCATTGTATCGAGACACCTTTCTGATTCACGAGCGCGATCAGACCGATTAATTTTCTCCGTCGCGACGAACCAACTGATCGTCGGCCGACAAGTTCCGCAGGACAATTCCATTGAGTACTTGTCAATTTTTTTAAAGACGCATCAAGAATAAATGTTATAGCTAAAGTTGAGCTTAGGGATCAAATTCATGTACGAAGCGAAATAAAGTAATATCACTTTACTGTTTTGACACAAACTCCCCTCGTAGTCCCGCGAGAATAATTTCCTTCCCCGATAACTCCCGATGTACACGATATTTTTCTGCTAAGTTGCGGAGGTTTTCATTTATGAAAAATGCGCAAAACGATGAATTAGCGTGATTATGTAGCGTGATAGTATAGTGAAATTGCATCTTCATGCGCGCGATTATCAATTGCGTATGATCAGAAATTTTCCATATTACAGAAATATTAAATAAATACGTCGTACGTAGATTTATAATGAGAATGAAAAAAATTATTCTAGTTGATTTTTGACTCAATATGATATTTAAAGCTGTCAGCCAATGACAATATTTGTTTCATATAAAAGTTCCAAAGATTATACATATACGTACACAGAGAGAACAATTTAGTTGAATTTAACAAATGCTTATTTGGAATAGACCAAATAAATTTTTTGATTGGTCGAACGAAGTTTCGTTTGACGCAACAAAAATATTTTGTTGCAGCTTAGTTCCAACGAAATGTTTTTGTTGCGTCAAACAAAATTTTGTTCGATCAATCAAAAAATTTATTTCGACTATTTCAAAGCATTTGTTAGATTCAATTAAATCGTTCCTTCTGTGCGGTAAAATCTCACAACAAAAGAATACTGAAAGATATTGTTAAACATATAAAATTGAGTTTCAATACGTATAAAAACCGTTTTACGCTAGTAATAACATCGCTAATAACGTTTGCAGCAGTGTTATTAACAATTGTGAACGATCTGTTGAAAAATTGCTGAAAACAACTGTTTCCAACATATTAATCACGTTTTGTGGAACACAAGTAACAAAATTAAGATAATTATATATAAACTGAATTAAATATTGACAAAAATTTACATTTTCGACTACAATGACGACACTCTACTCCCAGTAGAAGCGGAGATATCAACGGACAAAGGTTGTAAAACTTTAACCTTCGATATCTCCTAAACGGTTAGAGATACAGGCTTCGGACAGGTACCAAATTAAAGCCCTTTCAAAACCCTACATTTTGGACTACATGGACGACTCTCTACTCCCAGTAGAAGCGGAGATATCGTCGGAGAAAGGTTGGAAAACTTTAAACTTCGATATCTCCTAAACGGTTAGAGATACAGGCTTCGGACAGGTACCAACTTAAAGCCCTTTCAAAACCCTACATTTTGGACTACATGGACGACTCTCTACTCCCAGTAGAAGCGGAGATATCGTCGGAGAAAGGCTGGATATCGACGGAGAAAGGTTGGAAAACTTTAACCTTCGATATCTCCTAAACGGTTAGAGATACAGGCTTCGGACAGGTACCAAATTAAAGCCCTTTCAAAACCCTACATTTTGGACTACATGGACGACTCTCTACTCCCAGTAGAAGCAGAGATATCGACGGATGAAGACTGGATATCGACGGAGAAAGGTTGGAAAACTTTAACCTTCGATATCTCCTAAACGGTTAGAGATACAGGCTTCTGACAGGTACCAAATTAAAGCCCTTTCAAAACCCTACATTTTGGACTACATGGACGACTCTCTACTCCCAGTAGAACCGGAGATATCGACGGATGAAGGCTGGATAGCGACGGAGAAAGGTCGGAAAACTTTAACCTTCGATATCTCCTAAACGGTTAGAGATACAGGCTTCGGACAGGTACCAAATTAAAGCCCTTTCAAAACCCTACATTTTGGACTACATGGACGACTCTCTACTCCCAGTAGAAGCGGAGATATCGTCGGAGAAAGGTTAGAAAACTTTAAACTTCGATATCTCCTAAACGGTTAGAGATACAGGCTTCGGACAGGTACCAAATTAAAGCCCTTTCAAAACCCTACATTTTGGACTACATGGAAGACTCTCTACTCCCAGTAGAAGCGGAGATATCGACGGATGAAGGCTGGATATCGACGGAGAAAGGTTGGAAAACTTTAACCTTCGATATCTCCTAAACGGTTAGAGATACAGGCTTCGGACAGGTACCAAATTAAAGCCCTTTCAAAACCCTACATTTTGGACTACATGGACGACTCTCTACTCCCAGTAGAAGCGGAGATATCGACGGATGAAGGCTGGATATCGACGGAGAAAGGTTGGAAAACTTTAACCTTCGATATCTCCTAAACGGTTAGAGATACAGGCTTCGGACAGGTACCAAATTAAAGCCCTTTCAAAACCCTACATTTTGGACTACATGGACGACTCTCTACTCCCAGTAGAAGCGGAGATATCGACGGATGAAGGCTGGATATCGACGGAGAAAGGTTGGAAAACTTTAACCTTCGATATCTCCTAAACGGGTAGAGATACAGGCTTCGGACAGGTACCAAATTAAAGTCCTTTCAAAACCCTACATTTTGGACTACATGTACGACTCTCTACTCCCAGTAGAAGCGGAGATATCGACGGATGAAGGCTGGATATCGACGGAGAAAGGTTGGAAAACTTTAACCTTCGATATCTCCTAAACGGTTAGAGATACAGGCTTCGGACAGGTACCAAATTAAAGCCCTTTCAAAACCCTACATTTTGGACTACATGGACGACTCTCTACTCCCAGTAGAAGCGGAGATATCGTCGGAGAAAGGCTGGATATCGACGGAGAAAGGTTGGAAAACTTTAACCTTCGATATCTCCTAAACGGTTAGAGATACAGGCTTCGGACAGGTACCAAATTAAAGCCCTTTCAAAACCCTACATTTTGGACTACATGGACGACTCTCTACTCCCAGTAGAAGCGGAGATATCGTCGGAGAAAGGTTGGAAAACTATAAACTTCGATATCTCCTAAACGGTTAGAGATACATGCTTCGGACAGGTACCAAATTAAAGCCCTTTCAAAACCCTACATTTTGAACTACATGGACGACTCTCTACTCCCAGTAGAAGCGGAGATATCGACGGATGAAGGCTGGATATCGACGGAGAAAGGTTGGAAAACTTTAACCTTCGATATCTCCTAAACGGTTAGAGATACAGGCTTCGGACAGGTACCAAATTAAAGCCCTTTCAAAACCCTACATTTTGGACTACATGGACGAACCTCTACTCTCAATAGAAGCGGAGATATCGACGAATGAAGGCTGGATATCGACGGAGAAAGGTTAGAAAACTTTAACCTTCGATATCTCCTAAACGGTTAGAGATACAGGCTTCGGACAGGTACCAAATTAAAGCCCTTTCAAAACCCTACATTTTGGACTACATGGACGACCCTCTAATCCCAATAGAAGCGGAGATATCGACGGATGAAGGCTGGATATCGACGGAGAAAGGTTAGAAAACTTTAACCTTCGATATCTCCTAAACGGTTAGAGATACAGGCTTCGGACAGGTACCAAATTAAAGCCCTTTCAAAACCCTACATATTGGACTACAATGACGACCCTCTACTCCCAATAGAAGCGGAGATATCGACGGATGAAGGCTGGATATCGACGGAGAAAGGTTAGAAAACTTTAACCTTCGATATCTCCTAAACGGTTAGAGATACAGGCTTCGGACAGGTACCAAATTAAAGCCCTTTCAAAACCCTACATTTTGGACTACAATGACGACCCTCTACTCCCAATAGAAGCGGAGATATCGACGGATGAAGGCTGGATATCGACGGAGAAAGGTTAGAAAACTTTAACCTTCGATATCTCCTAAACGGTTAGAGATACAGGCTTCGGACAGGTACCAAATTAAAGCCCTTTCAAAACCCTACATTTTGGACTACAATGACGACCCTCTACTCCCAATAGAAGCGGAGATATCGACGGATGAAGGCTGGATATCGACGGAGAAAGGTTAGAAAACTTTAACCTTCGATATCTCCTAAACGGTTAGAGATACAGGCTTCGGACAGGTACCAAATTAAAGCCCTTTCAAAACCCTACATTTGGACTACAATGACGACCCTCTACTCCCAATAGAAACGGAGATATCGACGAATGAAGGCTGGATATCGACGGAGAAAGGTTCGAAAACTTTAACCTTCGATATCTCCTAAACGGTTAGAGATACAGGCTTCGGACAGGTACCAAATTAAAGCCCTTTCAAAACCCTACATTTTGGACTACAATGACGACCCTCTACTCCCAATAGAAGCGGAGATATCGACGGATGAAGGCTGGATATCGACGGAGAAAGGTTAGAAAACTTTAACCTTCGATATCTCCTAAACGGTTAGAGATACAGGCTTCGGACAGGTACCAAATTAAAGCCCTTTCAAAACCCTACATTTTGGACTACAATGGCGACCCTCTACTCCCAATAGAAGCGGAGATATCGACGAATGAAGGCTGGATATCGACGGAGAAAGGTTAGAAAACTTTAACCTTCGATATCTCCTAAACGGTTAGAGATACAGGCTTCGGACAGGTACCAAATTAAAGCCCTTTCAAAAACCCTACATTTTGGACTACAATCACGACCCTCTACTCCCAATAGAAGCGGAGATATCGACTGATGAAGGCTGGATATCGACGGAGAAAGGTTAGGAAACTTTAACCTTCGATATCTCCTAAACGGTTAGAGATACAGGCTTCGGACAGGTACCAAATTAAAGCCCTTTCAAAACCCTACATTTTGGACTACAATGACGACCCTCTACTCCCAATAGAAGCGGAGATATCGACGAATGAAGGCTGGATATCGACGGAGAAAGGTTAGAAAACTTTAACCTTCGATATCTCCTAAACGGTTAGAGATACAGGCTTCGGACAGGTACCAAATTAAAGCCCTTTCAAAACCCTACATTTTGGACTACAATGACGACCCTCTACTCCCAATAGAGCGGAGATATCGACGGATGAAGGCTGGATATCGACGGAGAAAGGTTAGAAAACTTTAACCTTCGATATCTCCTAAACGGTTAGAGATACAGGCTTCGGACAGGTACCAAATTAAAGCCCTTTCAAAACCCTACATTTTGGACTACAATGACGACCCTCTACTCCCAATAGAAGCGGAGATATCGACGGATGAAGGCTGGATATCGACGGAGAAAGGTTAGAAAACTTTAACCTTCGAT